TTCAAACATAGTTTTTTTGTGTATGTGTGTTGTGTCTAATCATCCCCAAAAAACTGAGCAGTTTGCAGATACACACAACTTACTTGACATTTGTGCATCCATTTGTACATGTAAAACTTCTGCAGATCACTTCTCAGTTTCTAAGTAAATTATATTTTTGACATCCCTCAATTTGACTACTGATTTTTATTCAAACTGTTTTCCAATGACAAAAAAACTATGAGCTGTCCCTAATCCATAAATGTGCAATACTAATTTTATGCGTACAATCAGAAACACGCTGCTTTTGTACTGTATTCACAGTTAGCAGTCTCAGTTGCTGGCTGAGAGTCTGAATACAATATTTAAATTTATTTATGTGTAATTGACCGGCCCAATCTCTCCTGCTGACTGGCATCTCATTTAATACACACAGTAAAGGTAAACTGGAATTCTGTTATAGAGCCCATTCCATTGTGATTGTTTTCCCTTCCCTTATATTCGTGCAAAGCATTTTTCCAATATGTGCTGCTGGGAAGAATTATAGTCTGCATTGAAATGGAACAAAAGCCTCCATCTCCAATAGTTTTTCATCGCACTTCTATAATGTTGTTGGACTCGAAGGATAAAAAGCAGCGAAGCAGAACCTCAGATATCTTCTTTTTCATCTCATGCATTCTACTTCCTTATCAAAACCTGGCATTACCCACAATGCAACTCACCTACCGACAGTAGTTGAAATGCCAGTAGAAGCTAATGTCCATGTGAGCTGCTAGCCACAAGCAGAGGCTAACAAGACGCTGATCGCTTCTTTTAACACGTTGAGTCTTTAGCCAGTAGATTCAGTCATGGAGGTGAACTGAATCCACGTAGTACTTTTATGTGAAGTTGGAATTTGTTGAGCTTTCTGATGGAGAGAAACTTCTCAGAGAAGCAATTACCCACACAGATTTCCTTTGTGTGATTTAATTTCACCATATGAGTCCCGTCACAACTAATGGATAAAATGCAAGTAGTCACTATGGAGACAAACTTCCAGTATTCATTATGTCGAGGCTCATATATATAAATTTATATACACACACAATTACCCATAACCCTACACAGATTTGTTCAGTTCAGCATTCACAATAAATATCAACGTGTTCATTGAACACTGAGCTTTAGCGTGGTTGATAGAGTTTATTTGATCTTCCTCTGCTCGAGGTATCTTCGAAGAAATAAGTACGTTCAGTATGTTCAAATAACAGAACATACTGAATAAAAGATTATTTTGCGTTCTGTTGCAACTCCATAAGAGAAAACCTGAGACGTATGCCTGTTGATAAGCTTCTCTGTGTGAACATCAGGCTTCACCTGAGCTTGATGAGCTAAATGCACAGTGCGTTTGGCCGCTGTGTCTCTTCCTCTTGTTACATTATTTTCATGGGAGTTTTAAAGGTTGGGGATTTTTTTGGTGTTGCACCAGGAGACAGGCTGAATGAGAAAAGATGGATGCTGTGGTGCACAGCTGGGAAAGATAATGAATGAAGTCAACTGTGGATGGCGAAGACCATCACTGAAACGCAATGGGTCCCGACAGGGATGCGGATATTGACCCGTCCGTCACGATCCCTCCCTTTCTTTACAAATACAAACTCTTACAAGTGTGTACAAAGCCTGGCCCGCACACATAGACACACACTGCAGTTTGCACATAAAACAAAAAAATACCAACAAGCACTTAGACTTTGCTCACACGCTCTCGGCCCCTGAGGCACTTTCTTTTTCTATTCCTAACACACTTACAGATACCGATGCGTGCGATATTCTTGGAGACGGATGTTTTCGCTTTTTTTAAACAGAAAGCAAACGGAGAGCCGGCTGAACCGTTTCCTATTTGACTTCTTTCATATGGATTCTATGGAAAGCAGAAGTATTTAGCATGTTGGAAATAGATTCAGCGTATTTTTTTTTTCCACCTGGACTTTTAAAAATCGGCAAACCTTCCGCTCGGTTGATCTTTTCCACCTGATATGAATCACTGGAGCGCTGAAAGGAAACAGTGGTGCACACCAATTCTCTTTCATTATTCTCCAGCGTGGACAAATCTTTCAGTCCCTGACAGCACCTGTGCTGTCCCCTATATTTCTCTTTCTCTATTTTTGTCATTAATTCATTAATTCGCTCTTTCATTCATTTATTTTTGTCCAGTGTACGTGGTCAATGGACTGAGGGGAGTCAACCCACTTACTGTCATCACAGGCGGCAGTGGGATCAGCCAGCGATTATAGTGATTACAGTTTGTGCTTACATAGGACTCTTGTGCTTTGTGCCACATCTCCCCTCGTCAGCTGGCAGTCTGAGCTCTAATCTGCCAGTTATAACAAACAGTAGACGAGGAAAAAGCTGTATGGGGAGAAAAAAGAAATGCAGGAGTGCGGAGAAAAATTGGCCGCTTGTGGCAACATTTCCAAAAATCAAGGGTTGTTCTTGTCCTGTTTTTAAATCTGACTGAGCGTCGTCGTCGCTTCAGAGAGTTCATAACACCTGGAACTTGGGTATTTCTGTTTTTTCTGTATAGTCTTATCATTTGCTTATGTAATCTAAGCCCTCCTGCCAGTAAGCGCACGTAGCCTGCAGTATCATCTAACCACCTGCTGTCTTCCTCCTCCTATAGTGCATATGTCAACCACATACATATCTGAAGACATTAGTCAAAGTGAATCCACCCCCCTACCCCCCCACCCCCCATCACAGCCAAGGTTCTGATGAATTCCTGATTACTCCCCTAATTGGTAATTGTGAAGTCGTTGTGGCACGTGGCACCAGCAGCTTCTCCTGCTATCGATCCAACACCTACTCCCTCATTGATTTGTGCTTAATACATTTAATTGTTATTCTCCACCTTATTTTATGCCTTTGCAGGTGCCCTCAGGACAGGGATTTTGAATATGGGTCAAGATAGATGTTTAGGCTGGGATTAAGTTTGCAATCCACGTTAAATACACATTATGATATTTAATCCCTCAAGAAGAAGTTATTACAAACTATGATTAAAATCCCAGATTCGGTGCAGGCTTAACTTCTAGGGCAGCGTTGTTCCATCAAAAATAAATTCCTGTTGTGCTTTTTAAGGGTTTACAGTAACAAAGAAGTGGAGCACTGCTTAGTAGAAGAAGCCCACAGCTCTATATCCAGGCTGCTTAAAATGTATTGTTTTTGTATACCTGTCCATTCATGCAAGTGTGTGTCTGCGCTCCAACCTCCGCCGGGTTACATCTCTTCTCTCCGTCTCACTTCTAATTCTATGTGACACTTCATCTTAACTTGTGTCCTCACCCGCTGATTGCAAAACCCCCCAGATCCAAACAGAATAAAGCAGAAGTGGTCGCGAGGAGGAAGACTGCAGAGATGAGAGGGCTGCCTCTATAATTGTTTCTCACTTTCACGGGCTTGACCCCTTATTTATTTGACTGGCATTTACTGCCTGGGAGTTAACTCTTCATTGCAGAGGACAAGCCGCAGACATCTGACGAGGGGGAGACTGCGGGTGAAAGAGGGTTAGAGGGGGCCAGTGTGGGCAGGGGTGGGAGTTCATGAACCTATAAAGCTTGCACGGGGGAGAATCGGCAGAGCACATCTCATTACGAGGTTGACTTGAAATGAGATTGGGCCCTTTTTTTTGCTTGTCCCTCACTGGTTCAATTGATTAGTCGGCAGCCAATCAATGTTAATTAAGGTCTGGAGAACCCTTTAATTGTGGTGTATGAATCATTGTGTCAGACCCCGCCTTGACCTTCCCAAGACTTACACTGTGAACGGCCTTGCTGGGGAATAAATACCTTTTTAATATTGCAAGATAATGCTGGTCTGTTAAACGAGTATAGATTCGGTTGTATACTGTAAGTTGCAGCACTAAGACCGCACGCACACAGTTAAATAGAAACCACACATATACCTTCAACTCCCGTTCCTTATTTTGCAAACAGACGCAGAGCACGGGCAGATCGATACTTGACAAAGCGTTTAAGAGTTAATGTCGTGAGATAAGTGTTGCTATTATGTGTGGCGAGAGGCTCCATGCATATGAAGTGGGGCTTTGATTGATGACTGCCAAAAACAAAATGGCACATGAGAACACCACCGGCAGTGTAATTGTGTTTTTTAATGAAGACCTACATTTCACGTTGGAGCTGATTTCGCACTCAGTTGATTGTGTTTGCCCCCCCCCCACCTCACCTCCACCATCACTAGCACCACCAACATCCATCATGCAGCAATAACAATGTAATCTGGATGTGCTGTGAGGTGCATTGCCTCCAACTCTTCATGAATTTAACCATGACTTGACTTCTGACCTGAAAAAAAGAAAGGTCAAATTTATATTCTCTCAAAAGTAAAAATGTCACAGAAGTCTGTTTTCTCTTCACTCTTCTCTCTTAATCTTCTTTATTTTCACCATGACTGAAGCACTGCACTGATTTTTCGGATTTATTACAGAGTGTTGTTATTAAAGATGTTCCAAAAAAGCACCGACAAGATTATCCCACTGTGAAGCAAAAAGTTTCTCCAACCAATATTTCAACTGTTTAAACTTCAGACATGATGCTTAGAAATAGTTTTGCCATCTCCAACACAGGATCTTTTGAGCCAAAGCCTGAGAGACCATCAGGTACTTGGTCAATTTCTTCAATGTCAGAGGGATAGAGGCCAGTGTTCTTGGGAACTTTAACTGCAGCAGGAAAAAAATGTTGTTTCCTTCCCCAGATGCGCTTCTTGTTTCTGAGCTCTGCACCTCTTGACTTGTTTTTTTGTCCGGACTGTATATAAAGATGGATGGCACGTCTCTACTTCCTCCCACTATCCAGAAATGAAGCCAAAATATCATAGATTCAAAAGCTGCCGTCTCTGCTTCATAATTGTCACCATTATTGCTGCAGACTTAAATAGTTTCTGCGTCATTAACCATCAACTGAACATAATTATTATTATTAAACAAACAATAATTGAAATTACTTTTTTTTTAAATTCCTTTTCAGATGTAATAACCGGACCCAGTGTGCTGTCGTGGCTGGACCAGACGTATTCCCTGACCCTTGTCCCGGAACCTACAAATACCTGGAGGTCCAGTACGAATGCGTACCTTACAGTATGTATTCCTCCGTGCTCTCACACTCACAGTGATCACTGCTCATGCTCCCACTCTTTCGCAGTTCTTCTTTACAGCCGTGACTCATCAACAACACGATCAACATGCATGCTCGTGGTGTTTCCAAATGTCGAAATGATCATCACGGTCCAGTCGGACAGATTAAAAATGCAGCAGGGGCTGTGAAGACGAGCGATGATTTATGTTATTTTAGAAAAAAAATACTTAACACCCTGTGTGAGGTCAGGAAATATTATTCACAGTGTCATTTACATGTGAAAAACAATCCAGCAGTGCGGGAGAGTGTTGTCCATTGACAAAATGCTGTTTATCAGTCACATATTAAGTCTTTGCTGAAACTGACAAGACATTAACATTTCTTCATTTATCTCAGCCCGCATCACGTCATTCCTGTCAGCAGTGTGGTAGCCGACACTGTGGGTTATTGGTTGTGCAATTTATTCAGGATAAAGTAAGTATTGTAAAGTTATATGACAAATATGATTAAGGTGACGCGACAAGCAAATAATTTGAGACGGATGTAGATTTGTTTCCCCCGCTGTGTGGGAATGCTAAAAAGAATTCAACTGCACACCTGTTAGTATTAGCTATGTTTCATTTTTAGATGGCGCTCGTCAGAACCTTCCCATCAGCTCCCCCAGTTCACAGCATTTTAATATCTTTGAGGAATCACGTCTGATCAGTGTCTCTGTTGTCGCAGCAGCAAGAAAGGCCACTTGACTTTCATCAAAATCAAAGATTCTTGTTTTCGGTTCAGTTCAGCTCAGTGGATGTCAGTTAATGCTCAGACTATAGGCATCTCTGACGGGAGTAAGTACAAAAACACTAGGATCTAATTAGTGCAGCAGGTGAACAACACAGTCAGACTGCACGTATGTTGAGGTGGAAACATTTGGGCAGGGACTGGAAGGATCGGTAGGGGGGCAACAGGATGAACACGCAGAGAGGAAGTCCAGGTGAGGCCAGAGGAAGTGGAGTGAACATTGCCACATGACCTTAGCTATTGTGTTTTAATGACCTCTGAAGTGGAATGCTAAACTCGCAATTGCTCTTCCTGCCAAAATCCCGACATGTTCTGCTCAGAAATGACATAAAACCAGACGTATCTGGTCACGGGCAGTTATCTGTCTCGTCTGCAGCTGCTGGGTCCAAGGGAACTCTGATAATTCGGATCAAAACCGTCTTTTGAACATGTGATGTCCTGAAACGGCTCCCTCAGTTGTCTGCCTGACAGGAGCTTTCATGTATGTGCAGTACAAACTATCTGGGCCTGTGATCCACAGCTTGACAGGTGGCTCTTTTGTACCGGACTCTGACATATGCACATTTTACCATCTCAGCTCCCCAGTGTCTTTCTTCGGTGACAGTATCTAACACCCATATAGAGGTGCTGTGATGGGCAGTTACACCTTTGCACAGTCTGCAACCTCGACCTGGGTAATTTTTTCCAAGTTCTTTGACACGTACATGTCTAAAGAATCAGAATGTGTGTAGTTGTCACATTTTGAAGCATCAGTAGTTGTAGTAGCATCAGAAATGTTTGTCGATTTATTTAATATATTTGTCTTTATTTGCCATTATTCACAGATTGTTTGTCTTTTAAAGGACATCATGTAGCCAAGACAACATTAATGAACCAAATGCCAATTATTTGTGATTGCGTGTTGTGTATTTCCTTCTCTGTTGATGTGCAAAGACCTTAATCCTCACAGTGTGGACTTGTAGCACTCAGCTGTTCTACTAAAGTCTTGTTTACCTGTGGTTCCAAGCAAACACTGAGGTTTTCTTGTAGGGAGCTGTTTTTACCGAGCTTTGTGGGGGAAATAGTAACGAGATGCACTTTCTGCCTCATGGGGGCAGTTTCTCTATCTTTGACATGAAACAGGGAGATATTTTTTATTGTGATTTATATTTTCCTGATCAAACTGATTGGATGGCTTCTGTGGCTGCCAGTCCCAACCCCTCGCGATCCCTTTACTTCCCTTCAAGGTAAACTATGTCACTTTCCATAATATATGGTGGACATACTCACATGTGAAGGCTCTGTGCAAAAATAGTGTCTTGAAGTAAGCTTTGTTCACCATGTCTGTCCTGATCTTAGTGACACAATACCCTTGCCATTTATGGGAATTCTCCTAGATCTACTTCATCCATATTGTTCCCCAGTATTTCTTTATTCTCATTGGCTCAAACCCCTGATCTCTTTTTACAATAAGTTATGTAACCTCTGTGCCCGTCAGATTCCTTTACGCTGACTTCTGGCTTCTTATTTGTCACATATTATGACTCCATCTAAAAATGTTGCCATGAAATGCAGAAGCTTGGTTTTGCCTCTCTGTCACGATCCCAGCGACACAAAGTAATTGCCCTCCGGTCTCCTGGGAATTTAGCGAGACCCATCGGATGCACGGCACTCCCATTCAGCTGTCTGACTCAGCCACCAACCTGCCAGGTTCCTCTTTTTTTTTTTCTTCTTAACAATAAAGTCATCTTCCTTTTTGAAAAGCCGAGTCAAAACACGGAACAGTGAGCCAGTGTTCCTGGCAGCTTTGTTGCTGTAACATTGGGGACGCCTATTAGCGGTGCACAAGGGAGGAAGACGACTGGTTCGACTATGGACGGCATCAAGAACTGGTGCAGGATTAAACATTCTGCTGGCAGTGCCTTAACATTACAGAAGTCTCGTAGGCGTTTATTTGTATGTTGAGTGTAATCAGTAGCGGCCACTGGAGACAGATTTTCAGATGCAGTTAATAACATGGTGGGAATGAAGTTCACGTGTGGCCGCCCAATAGACGATGGAAGCAATAAGACCCTTTTAGGCCAGAATTTACCACATTTAGAGAAACTACCTTGCTTTTATAATGAATCATATAGTCGATCTAAATAGGTTAATCCTGTTAGTAACTGCTGACAAATAATAGAGTAATTTTGGCAACGGGGTAAGGTTTCACACCACGCAGCTCAATTGTGGATGGGCTTTTAATACGAGTCTCTTTACCGAGTTCTTGAGACAGACTGAAGGATTTGAGTGTTTAATAAGAGAAGCAGCCGCCCGTGACTTCAACTCCCCTTCAGTGATGGAGCCTGGACTCAGTATTCCTCTGACAAGCTCTCCCTAATACTCTCTCTTTCTTCCAAGCCACCCTCACTTTCACTTACACTCACTTACTTGTCCTTTAAGTGCTGTCACTAAGTGCCCCCTACCCCCCCCAAAAAATATCTTTATATGCTCCACCTGCTCTGCCCCACCCCTTTCTTCTTCATAGCTTCTTCTCTTTTAGGATAAATCACCGCCGCTCTTCTTCATATCTTTATAAGCCGGCGAGATTGCACGATCTGATCCGCCCCCTAATAATCACGCAGGGGTGTGCTGAATCGATGGACACGTGCCGCAGATGCAATATTGATTTTATTAATTCGCGATTTGATCCACTCCATCAGATCTAATGGAATGAGAGTGCCAGTCTTTGCTCTGTGCTGCTGTGTGGTAGTGTCACCGCTCGAGGCAATCCATCACATTTTCATATTTGAGCTGCCGTCGGAATAAAACTATTTAAGCTTTTTTCGTTAGAATATAGCATCACATCTGTGTTTTAAAAAAGGAGTTGTGTAATACCTAAAACTGAAAAGGTTTGCGTGTTTTTACCTGTGCAAGTTTTAATGTCAGAGTCTGTTCCTGTGCAGTTCATGTATGCTCCTCCATGACTTTACAGATTAGCGAGGCTACCCTCGGGCAGAGTTAATGCGCTGACCCTTTAAAATGACTCATAAACATGACTGTGCTCCAGCGGCTGACACCTGTCTCTGCTTCCGCCCTCTCACCTTGACTTTCCGCAGTTCAGCGGAGGGATGCGCGCCTATTCTCCGAGTGCACTATTAAAACCTTGTCTTCCTCGCCGTGTAACTTTCACTTTAATAGCTCCTCCCAAAGGTCGGGGCTTATAAGAAGTAAGCACAACTGTGTCTCACTCTCAACCCGCCTATGTGCTCTTCCTCCGCTGTAATGAAATGCTTACATCCCCCACGGTGGCCCCTTAAATTCTCAGACTTACACAAGAAAGTACATTCAAACTTGCGTCGCCTTGTGCTGTGAGAGGAAGAGTTTCTCTGTTGTTGGCAGCTTCCTGTTACGTTTCATGTCCTCACTCCCTGATATCTCCTTCCAGTAATTAGCTGCAGCGTAGAATCTATTGGAAACTGACTGATTTAGTTCATGCGAGCGGTCAAACCCGTCGTCCCACAAAAAATGAGGTATAGGGGCTAATTGCACGTCCTTTTTAAAAAAAAGTGACACTCCACAGTGTGCTGCGGAGGAGATCGAGAGATGGAAATTCAGAGAAAAAGAAGAGAGTGAGAGAACAAACGAAGAAAACCTGCTGTCAGTGTGTTGCTATACATAAGCCACTAGTTCCCCCCACTGTTTGTAGCTAATAAGGACAATGTAAAATCCTGTCTCACACAGTGGGATCCAGCTCAGCCCTGTCAGATATGGCTCTGGCTTTGAAAAGCTAAGCCAGGGCATATAATCATGCAATCAATTCCCTGATTTGAACGGAGCGCTGTAATCCCAGGCTCATTCCTCTCTTCCTCCAACTTGCCACGCGATGTGTCGTGTTCTTTTATTTCCAACTCGCCTAACTCGTTTTTAATTCATTTTGCTAATATTAACACACCTAGCAGGTTCAGAGGGGCTCTAATCGAATAATGGGATAGATTATTTTGGCAAGTTTTACCCAGACACCTGCTACCAATCTCCATCCTTCTGTGTTGGCAAGTAAAGCCGTGAAATTGATGCTCTGCACATGGCTATCATGCACTCTGTCGTTTGGGTATAATAAGGTGTGATGACAGGGCCTGTTATCCAGTGGTCACACCTCAGGCAAGCACCACCTGCGTGACCAGGACTGGACTGCATGGCCTCAAATCTTGGCCTTTTTGTTTTAATGCCCCGACACTTTGCAGGCTTTTAGTTTCTA